CAATCCCCCCACTTCAGCCTCCTGAATAGCTGGCATCACAGGCGTGCACCACCATGCCCAGCTGATATTTGCAGAGACTGTGTTGCCTAGTCTTGTCTTAAACTCCTGAGCTCAAGCGATCCTCCATCCTCAGCCTCCCAAATAGCTGGCCACCATAGTCTGCCAGATTCCTGTTATTTTAAGCCACCAGATTTGTGGTCATTTGTGCCAGCAGCCTTAGGTGACAACTGCATCCCACCTTACTTTCTGTTCTCAGGCCCAGTTAGAAGGGCAGGAGGGCTGTCCTTGGGGCACAAGCCTCTGCACCACACGGTCTGTGGGCTCCAGGCCTTCCTGCGCGCTCTCGGTTTCTTCAGCAAGTCTCCCTTGACAGTCCGGGCTCTCTGGGCTGCATTGTGGGGAGGGGTTGTGAGCATCTGTCTCCTTGGAGGCCAGGGTGGCTGGGAGGAGCTGGCTCTCCTTGAGCCCAGGGGGCTGCTAACCCTGTTGCTATAAATCAGGGGACTCCTTGGGAAAGTGAGAGGGGGTCCTGAAGAGGGTGGCTTTCTGACAAATTTTTGCAGGACATCAGGGGAAAGAGGGCCAGAGTGGGGTGACTGCCGGAGGGCCCTGGAGGTTGGCAAGGAAGGGCAAGACAAGCATTCAACGAAGGCTTCATGGGGGAGGCAGTGTGGATCTGTGCCTTAAGGACAGTTCCTTGAGGGTTGATTGGCAGACCCAAGGGCACTTGAAATAAAAGCAAAGTCTCTTCTGTGGCTGCAGGCTGCTTTCTTTTTCACCTTCCATTATGCCCAGGTCCCTCTATCCCAGGGCCTTGGCTGTTACAGTTCCCTCTGGCTAGCCCTCTCGTTCCAGACTTTTGCACTGCTGCTTTCTCCTCCTTGACATCTCCACTGAAGCCCAGAGAATCTTCCTTGACCACTCTGAATTCTCCCTCCCTCATGGCACCCCTCCTCACGTTACCTTGTGTTATTATCTTTGTAGAGGTGGGGGGAGACATGGAAATGTAACCAAACCACTCACTAGATGTGAAAATGTATACTATCTTCTTCCCATGCCCACACCCTTCCCAATTAGAAGGTTAACTCCTGAGAGCAAGGCCCCCATCTGTCTAGTTCACTGCAATGCTCCCAGCACCTGACTTGGGACAGGCCTCCATCAGGACAGTGTTGGGTGGATCAAGGGAAGGAAGGAAGGATGGAAGGAAAGAAGGAAAGGCAGGGGGAAGTCTTCCAAGAATGAATGGCATTCCAGGTGGCAGAAAAGGCAGGGAAGAGGGAGTCGTACGTGTGAAGAGGAGAGGCTGCCAGGAATGGATCAGCCTGCTCAGACCAGAAGAGGTCCCAGGGCCAGCCCTCTCTTACGACTTCTATAATCAATGCAAATGGGTCCTAGTTCACGGAGGTTGCTACCAAACTCTTCGCGGCTGGTGTGGGGACCTGGCCAGTGGAACTGGCCGCTTTCAGGACTGTGTCTGGAGATTCTACTTGTCGAGGGCCCCAGGCCCTGGCTCTTGTAGAAGTCCACCCCATACGTACTATTTTTCCAAGAAGAGCCCTGGAAGCTATGGTTGGTCTAGGAGTTTAGCTGTTCTCATCTCCTTCACATACAGAATAAAATCTAAGGTCCTCATGGTAGCTCTCAAGGCCTTACATGATCCAAGCCCAAAGGTCATGGCTCCCCACCACTCTGTAAGCTTTAAAACCTCAGGTTGAAACCCCAGCTCAGCCACTCAATAGCTGTGTGACTTCGGACAGGTCCTTCAACCTCTCTGAGCTGCTATCTCCTCTAGGATAAAATGGGCCTGGTTAAAGTACTTGCTTCAAGGTTCTTGCAAGGATGAAGGGAGGGAATCCAGCGAAAGGCTTTTAGTGTGCACCTGATGTGCGCTGAGCACTTAATTACCATTAACTCTGCCCTCACTCCTCCCCTGCCCGCTAAAGTCCCCACCATAAATCAATTTTAGGGCTTCCGGAGGGAGCATCCGTAGATCCCAGGCCCCAGCTGAGCACATCAAAGTCCCCTTGGAGAAGGGACCTGTTTCAGGGTCACACAGTCAGCCTGTGGCTTGGGTGGGACTTGAACCCAGGACTCGCACCAGACGCCCCCACTCCTTCGCTGGTCTCACCTCTTCCCAGCCCAGAGTGGCAGGAAGAGGGACCTCCAGTTACTGCTTGGACACCGCCGGCTGCACAGCTTCTTCTCCACTTCAGCACTGAGTTAATCTGATGAATTAGGTCTGTTTCATGCCCCGTGCAATCTTCCTCGCAATGCTCATCAGGTTCCTGGGGCAGCATCTGCATGGCTTCGAAGGCTCTGGCAGAAGCCGAGCCTCCCCGTCAACAGGCTGCATTACATTTACAAGAGGCCTTTAATGCCCTGTGGTCTCGGCTTCCTTAATGGGGATTTTCTTCCTCCTCCTTTTTCTCTCCCCCTTTTGTATGTTCACCGGTTTGGCTTTCGGAGTGCGGTTTGGATTCCTAACAGAGAAGTCAAGACCGGAGAATCCCTTCCAGGCCCTCCCTTCCTCTCTCCCTCCCTCTCTCCCCTACTGGCGGACGGTGCCAAAGCCCTGGGAAAAGAAAACGTCGGTCCTGTCAGGATTTCAGCGGGAAAGAGGGAAGCTCCATTGGGCTTCCAAAAACTCAGCTGGGAATTGGCTTGTGCAGACATTCTCCTCTGACCCTGCAAGTGAGCAGCAGATCCAGGAGCCCGGTGGGGAGGACTGGGCAGCCCCAGGCTCAGTGGCGCGGTGGCCTCACTCAGAGTGCAGCTCGAGGGGCAGGGCGGGGTCCTGTGCCTGGGGCCAGCGTGGGGAGGAGTCAGGTGGCTCCTCTCTCCTACCTCCCCATCCCAACCTGTCCGTCCCTCCTCTGGACCTCGTACACCTGCGGGGAGGCCTCAGTGCTTCTTAACTAGATTTTACAATGAGTTCTGTCTGCAGCTAGGTCAGGAATGATCTAAGACCCAGCCAGAGCTTTGGCCAGTGCTGAGGTGGGGGACTGGGAGAGGGACCTCATTTACCTCCTCCTCTCCCTCCTTTCCTTTTTGTCCCCTGACAGGATGAGAAAGGACGGGAGTGCCATTTTTGGAGGCTGAGGCCCTGCTCCACACAGGTTTGTGGGCCCTGCTCCCCCTCCTGTGGTCCCCCCGGATTTCCTCTGTGTCTCGGATGGTCCTTCAGGGCCCTGCTCGCACGGCTGGACCACCGGTGTCACTGAGCCCCCCTCAGCTCCTGACAGACAGCCTGAGGTAGAAAGGCCCAGAATTCCAGCCCCAGGACCACCCGACTTCTTGGCAGTCCTGAGCACAGGTCTCCTCGTGTTTTCACTTTTACACAGCATCCCCCTGGCCCCACATATGTAGCCTGTGGCATGCGAGCAATCAAGTGACAGCCAACCAAAAAAGGGTAGGAGGCAAAGGAATCCTGAATCTGTAACATCTTCCCCCAAGGAGCAGTGGTGTCTCCAGTGTCTGGATAAATCACGTTTTATCTCCTTTCAAGAGGAACGAAAAGCAGAGCCGCTTCATCTTGATGACGTCTGTCTGCACAGTGTTGTCCATCTGACAGGGAGATGGCCCGCTCTCTGGCTTCAGAGAGGAGACGAGGAAGGAGAGCTTGAGCAAGAGTCCAGGAGAGGAACCAGAATGACCCAGCAAGCATTCATTGAGCATCTGCTGAATGCTAATCCTAGTGCTCCACAGAGTGTGGGGGAGACAGGAGGGGTGAGCTGCAGAGCCATCACGGAGAGATGAGAGAGACCCACAGGAAGCAAGTCACATGCCATGGGACACGCTCACACGTTCCACTGTCTGACTTTAGCAGGGCTGGCGACCAATGCTCGTGGTGGCAGGGAAGTCAGGGATGGCTGCAGCTGGGGTTTTCATAGCCCCCGGGTTCCCTGTCTGTTCACCTCTGGCTGCCAATGGCTGCTCACCGGAGCCACTGGGGCTCTCTACCTCAGGGCTTTGTGTAGCCATGGGTGCACACTCAGACAGAAGACGTGCTGGAGTTAACGCCCTCGGAGACAGCCCTCAGTGACGGACAGGGAGCTGGTGGGTAGATCCCCAGCCTCCGTGTGCCAGGTACATTCTCTGTCGTCTCCTGGAGCCCCCCCAGCAGAATTGAGCGCCGACTGCCCACCATGACTAGCGGGGCTGATAACACTTGCTTCCCCTTCCTGCCCTTACTGTCCCACTCCCCTAATATTTCTTGGGATCGCCTCCAAAATAAACAAATGCCAGTCAAATCCTTGTTTCTGGGGATGCGTCTGGGTTCAGATTCTAAATTTCACAGACTAGAAAAGGACTATGCCTTGACGCACTTGTTGTGATTGAATGTGGCCAGCTTAGGAGAGCCAGCTGGGAAGGGCTGAGGGGTTGGCATTTCCTGTGCGCCTTGCCCGTACCTGTAGAGGGGTGTCCCAGCCCAGCAGGCAGCAGCCCGTATGGCTGGAGGCTGTGTGCGCACAGAGGCCAGGAAACACTCAGACTGGGACAGCCATGCTTCCCTTGGTATTGCCTTGTGCCCGCCCTGGAAGGAGCCACCCACCTAGACTAAGAATGGGAATTCCTGCCCAGCTGGCAGGAACCAATGCCGATTTCTCAAGGAGGGATGGGCCTGAAAACAAAGCGTAGCATGTGGGCTGGGCTCTACTTTGTGTTGATTTGCAAGGTCACTTGAGAGCCGCACCCACGCCGGGCATTCATCAATCCTGCCATTAGATCCAGGCGAGGTGGCCTGGCCAAGTCGCTCATTGAATCCCAAGATGGCAGCCTCCAGGGCTCCTCACCTTCCAGAGAGGTCCTGGACTCTCAGCCTAGGGCGCCTCCTGCCCTCCAGGAAAGGTGACCGCTCCTCTCTTGTTTCCTCGACCATGGACAGGGGTGGTGGCAGGTAGTGCTGGACTAAGATGCTGAGAAGCCAGGGGAGTGGGAATGAGAGGGTCCCTGTGGCAGTTTTAGCCAGAATCCCCCACTCATGAGCATCTCTCTTCCAGGCAAGATCCTCTTCCGCAGAAGCCACATCCGGGACGTAGCTGTGAAGAGGCTGAAGCCTATCGATGAGTACTGCCGGGTAAGAGTGTGTCTGGGGCTGGGGGAGGGGCTCAGGGAGGGCTCCGGGGAGGGGAGGGGCCCATCTGCCTGAGTCTGTCCATCTGTGAAAGAAGGCTGCTGTACAGAACCCTCCTGAGGCCTGGTGTTTCCTGGCCAGAGGGGTGGGCATGGGGTCACCCTGTAGCTGGGCCACTCTCTGGGACACAAAGACCTCAGGTTCACAGCTAAGCCTCTGTGCCTGTCAGGACATATCCATGTTTACAAAACACGGCTTTAAGTCACTTCCTGTGGGAAGTGAACTGAGCTCTCAGGAGCTAAGTCAAGGAGCCTCCTGCTTCTTCCTGCTTGCTTCTTTGTGGAATTTTGCTGTACATGGAAGGACTGTTTCTTTGAATTCCTGTTGGGATGTTGTGGAATCAGTTCAATAGCATCAGCAGCGCACATTTGTTAATTTCCCTAAATCTTGGTAACTACAAATATTCATATACACATCTTTACAGATGCAGGTGTTCAAACACGCGCACACACACACACACACACACACACACACACACACACACACAGACATTAACATAGCCAGTGCCAAAGAGCAGGCAAGAGAAGGACAGCCGTGTCATGCGCCAGAGCCCACCTGTCTGTCTGCTTGATTAGAGCCCAGCGCTCCTGCGGTGAGCATGAGCGGCTACCAGCGGCTCTCCGTTTCCTCGGCACGTGGCCTCTGGAGGGCCAGACTTCCCGGGTTCAAAGCCTTGACTAATTTCATGAACTTGGGCTAGTTGCTTAACTTCCCTGAGCGTCAGTTTCCACATCTGTCCAGTATGGAGGTGAACACACAGGGTGCCTCCACACAGGGTGGTCACGAGCATGGGATGAGCTGACACATTGTAAGGCTGTAGCACAGCATCTGGCTCAGAGGAAGCATTCAGCAGATGCTTTTGTGACTATTTTTACAAAGGGCAAACAATTTGTATTAAATAAACAAGCAAATGAAAAGGCTTTATTTTTTATATTATTTATTTATTTATTTTGGTGAGACAAAAGTCTCGCTCTGTGGCCCAGGCTGGAGTGCAGTGGCGCCATCTCGGCTCACTGTAACCTCCACCTCCTGGGTTCAAGCAATTCTTGTGCCTCAGCCTTTCGAGTAACTGGGATCATAGGCGCGCGCCACCACGCCTGGCTAATTTTTGTATTTTTAGTAGAGACGTGGTTTTGCCTTGTTGGCCAGGCTGCTCTCAAACTCCTGGCCTCAAGTGATCCGCCTGTTTCAGCCTCCCAAAGTGCTGGGATTACAGATGTAAGCCACTGCACCTGGCCTTTTTTTTTTTTTTTTTTTTTTTTGAGATAGAATCTCCCTCTGTCGCCCAGGCTGCAGTGTAGTGGCACGATCTCGACTCACTGCAACCTCCACCTCCCAGGTTCATGCGATTCTCCTACCTCAGCCTCCCGAGTAGCTGGGATTACAGGCACGCACCACCACACCTAGCTAATTTTGTATTTTTAGTAGAGACGGGGTTTCACCATGTTGGTCAGGCTGGTCTAGAACCCCAACCTCGTGATCTGCCACCTTTGGCCTCCCAAAGTGCTGGGCTTACAGGTGTGAGCCACCGTGCCCAGCCCCTGGCCATATTTTTAGCATGTTTTCAAGACAGCGTCTCATTCTGTTGCCCAGGCTGGTGAAAGCCTTTATTAAATAAAAGCAAATAAAAAGTTAAAAGGCAAATAAAAAATAAAAACAAGCAAATAAAAAAGCAAACACGAAATTATTTAATGTTTCTACTGGGCACCATTGGCTTTAGCAGAGCTAGAATTTCGTAGTTAAATGAAACCCACTGTGTTTCCTGACTCAAAAATCTTGCGAAGACGTGGTATAATGTGTTATAATGTGGCAAATGTAGTCTCCAGTTTCACAGGTGCTGGTATTAGCGGATCGGAGGGAGAAGAGCTGGAGTGGAATCCCAGTGCCCACTTACTATCTACATGACCTTGGGCAAGTCGCTTTGCCTCTCTGAGCCCTAGTTTGCTCATCTGTAAAATGAATATAAAAACACTATCTCACATGGGGGCAGAGTAGGAAGAATATATATCACAGTGTCCTCATACAGAGCTGTTGCAGGAGGATCACTTGAGGCCAGGAGTTCGAGACCAGCCTGAGCAGCATAGCGAGACCTCGTCTCTCCAAAAAAAGTTTAAAATTAGCCAGGCATGGTAACACACACCTGTAGTTGAGGTGAGAGGACTGCTTGAGTCCGGAGGTCAAGGCGGCAGTGAGCTCTGATTACGCCACCACACTCCAGCCTGGGTAACAGAAAGATCCTGTCCCAAAAAAAAAAAAGTAAAAATGTTGAAATAAGAACCAACTTGCCAAGTTAATTATCTGGTGTTCCCAAGCCTGTGAGAAAAAAAGACAATGTACTCTCCATTAAACTGAAGCTTGAATTTCATGACTGTGCATGTTATACTTGGGTCACATGTTCTGCCTTATTTTAAAAGGATACCCCAATGCTGGATTCCCTTAAGCTAGAAACTCTTCTTCAGACCAATATTCATTTTTGTCTTTAACAGACATTCACTGTTTCTGGTTAAATTGATGGCTGCAGCCTGAGCTTTTATTTCTCTTTAATCCTTTCCCAAGAAGCTAAATAAATGGGCAAAGCTAATGGGAGAGGGGGCAAAGGGTGGGAGGAAGGCTTTTCCAGCTGGGATTTATAGCCAGATTAGCCAGCCCAAGGCATCTGCAGTTGGGCTCCATGGAAATGTGGTCTGCTAGATCATCCGGAGGAGGAAGTGAAAGCATCTTATCTCCTGGGATCAGGCTTTGAACAGGACTCCTGATTCAGAGGGGCTCTGGAGCTCCAGTGTGCCGTGGGTAGCTGGAGGAGCCGTTGAATCGGGGTCTGCAAGAGGAGGGGCCTCCTAACCTGATTAGCACAGATGGAAACTGCCCAGAGCCAGACAAGGAACAGAGCCATGGGTCCACCAAGCAGACAGCCATCTCTCTCACAGGCAGTGATTTACTGTGAGAATGGCCGGGGTGGAACAGTTCAGAGTGACCTTTAATTCTGCTGAACTAGGAGGCTGGGATCTGTGGTCTGATTGTCTGAGAAACCCACTGACCTTGGAATGGTCTTTAGAGACAAGTCCATGGCCACTGCCACCAGCTTTGCATTTCACAGCTCTGCCTCCATATGGGCCACACTCAGCATCACTGCCAACCCCAGCCAGCTTCACAACCAGTGCCGTGTGCAGTCCGCTCCATGGCCAGCCCTTCCCCTGTCTCTACCTGCCCTCGTCTACACTACCTAGTGCCTCTGGAGTCTCTACTCTGTCCCCTGCATAGCCCACCTGCTTGGCTGACCATCATCCTTAGACCTGCTGGACAATGTGGGCTCAGAGTCTGGGGTTTGATGGGAATTCAGATGCACCCAAAATTGTGCAGCTGGCTCTGCACCCCGAGCAGCTGGCTCCCTGCAAGGACTCAGGCATAGAAAGTCTGACCGTGCAGTGGACCTCCCCAGACTTCAGGCTCCCTGCCCTTGCTGGCCAGCCAGTCCCACCGCCTAATGGCAGTTTCACAGCCCAATCTCAGCATTAATTCTTAACGTATAGGCAGCAGATTGGATGAGAATCACCAAAAATTTACCACATGCCGACTGAGTGATCGTTTTATGTGGCACTTGAGGGTCAGGTGTGTATGAAGAGGGGTTCCAAAGGCATTTCTTTAACTTCATAAATTAATGTAAAGGGCAACATGGTAATGCAGTTAATATTTAATGGGTGGGACTTTAAGTGACTCTGTTTACCCCATTCCTAGGGGTGAAATACATGTTTGCAGTGTTTGTCCAGGGGATAAAATAAATCTTCTAGGGAGGAGTTCAGAGAAGAGTGTGAGAGTGTTTGAGAATGACCAACTCACCCTTTGACATGTTAATGAAAATTATACAAGTCTCCACTTCCTGGTTGGTATAACTAGAATCTTTTTGCTACACAAATAGCTGAGCTTGTTTCTAGTATTTGTCTGTCTGTGACACATTTGCTTTCAGGGATCAGTGGCTTTCTTTGCAGGAGGGAAGAGGGATTGGGTGTGGTCAGGCTTAGGTGCAGGAAGTCTGAGCCCAACAAGAGGTCAGCATTGAAGGGTAAGGATCTCCTGACTCTCCCCTCTGCACCACCCTGACTCATTCATTTTTATTCCCACTTCCCAGACTTGAAAGCTGAGGCTACTGCATGGCGGTTCCTGGTCCCAGGTATTCTCCTTTCCATTGTGGGATTTTCCACCACAGCCAATCACTGGCTCTCTCCCTGGGGAGAGTAACATCATTCCTGTGGTCCTTGTTCTGAAAGCAGACCTGGCCCAGGAAAGGCCTTGCCAGTGGGGAGACTTACGCAGAGGCCAAGGCTGATCTGTTCATGAGGGGCCTCCTGAGTGGCCTGGTGCTCTGGGGGAACCCAGGTAGTAGAATCTCGCCATCTCCCTAACAGACCCAGGAGAAGGAGTTTCTAGGCTGAGATAAAGCAGATCCTGTCCCTTTTCTCCTTAAAGACCTTCAGAGGGCCGGGCACAGTGGCTTATGCCTGTAATCCCAGCACTTTGGGAGGCAAGGTGAGCCATTGCTTGAGCTCAGGGGTTTGAGACCATCCTGGGCAACATGGTGAAACCCCATCTCAACAAAAAAATGCAAAAAATAGCTGGCTGTGATAGGATGCATGCCTGTAGTCCCCGCTACTCAGGAGGCTGAGGTAGGAGGGTCACTGGAGCCTGGGAGGCAGAGGCTGCGGTGAACCATGACTGCACCGTGGCACTCCAGCCTGGGCGACAGAGTGAGACCCTGTTTCAAAAAAACACAGGACTCTTTCAGAGGAGTCCCACTGCCCCCAGGAACATCTGAGCGCCTCAGCCGGGCCCTCTGTGGGCTGGTTCCAAGAGCTGCTGGGGCCTCAGCCCCTACCTCTCTCTTCCACATCCTACAGTTCAGATCAGCAGACACGAGGCCTTCCCCAACCAGCCAGGCCTCCACCCCT